ACATACTTTTACTCTGAAGGTTGGTCACCCTTTTAGTTCTCTTATTTCTTTCATTTTCATCCTAGTTTTTTTTTACTTTCTCCTTTGTTTTACCAGTTGTGTTCTGGTTGTTATTGGTGAATCATCATTGTTGTTTTGAGACTGATTTTGTTTTCTTGAGTTTGTTTTCATGTATGTACGCAAAGTACATGTACTAAATAAATAAATAGATAGCCGGAGAGAGGCGCGAACACGTCGCAATATCAACTATGTGTTTGGTCTAAGATTCTCAAAAACAGCGCTGTGCAGCAGTGGTGCAGATAGTTCTTCAAGGAATTGTGAGAGCTTCTTTGATATCGGACGTGAATGAAAATTAATCAGAGATTTTGACTAAATAAATCCAACAGGACTGTAGAGGAGCCACACTGAATTCGATATAGCCCACCCGTGTTTTTAAAATGAATGCAGAAGGCTGAAAATTTTGAAAAAGTCGACAAGCGTGTAGCGCTGAGAGTCCCGGTTTCCAACACTCATCCGCTCTCCTTCTACCCTCTTCTGCCCAATGAAACGACCCTTTTCTTGATTGATTGTAACGTGCAACACAGAAAAGATTCGTGGCAATAATCGACGAGCCTCCTCTAAAACTTTGTCGAGATTAGGGTCAGCAGGTTTTCTAAAAGGTGCACGAGGGCAAAGTTGTGAACACTTTCACAAGGATTGTGACAGGTGCGGCTCTTCAAGCCCAGACGGAAATGTTGCAGAGGACTCTACTTTCAACAAAGTGTCAACACACCGAAAACTTTGATGAATGCGCCCAATACTAGTTTCATCATTAAGGGGGGCGAGTGTGTCTACACCGCAACGCTTACCCTGTGCAAATTGAACTAGATGGGCTACTGAAGTGCGTTGCTAACATCTTACTCACCAAACCTCTTGCATATCCGCTGCCACTTTTCCTACCGTCTGGATAGCTTCTTTGAAGAGAAATGCTTCGAAGTTCAGCTTGATGCTGAAATGGCCTTCGCCGGATTTATCGCTTACAGAATTCCAGCACTTTGTAACGTTTCAACACCTGTCTTGAAGAGAAGCGTACGGGGATTATAACAGCTTTTATTTCGATCGAAAGCGTTATGTTTGAACCGAGATATGCGCATTTGAATTCAGTGTCAAAATCGGCGGAAACGTTTCCGGACAACCCAATACTTTTTCGGCAACTCGATGATAGCCTCAGGGAAAGGACATCATTTCACCATCCGATCGAGAGCTTTATAAATGTATTTCATGTAGAAGTCAAAAAGCGCTGCGCCCACAAGAAGCAGCATGCTTCAAAGCTAGGAAAATTTGTTGATGAAATGTGCAGGGTAACTGCAACTTGCGCCCGCCCTGTACATAGCAGTGTGAAAACCCTAAGCCTAAAAACAAAGGACTAACTTACTTGAAAAACTCTGATAGTTTCTTAAAATGCTTCTTGATCCATTTGATCTTCTGTCCTTCTCGCTCGATTTCCTCGTCAAATGCACGGAAATCTCGACCATGTCGACCATTCTTCTGTAGATTCCTCAGCTGAAAAGAAAAAAGAATCAGTTCGGATAAAAAAGTTATAAAACAAATAACAAAACTAGTCAAAGAAATCAAATGCGGTTTCGCGATTTCCACATCAAAACACAAAATTTTCATTTTTCGACTGCACCTGTAAGCATTGTTCAACCAGAAAGAAACTCGAGACTCAGAAATTTCGGAATATTTTTTGATTTTTCACCTGAACAAGTTCCAGACACCTAACACATTCCCCGGTGCGAATGCCATCGTTAACAGTCATTTAGTACCTTATTTTAAAGGCATGCCCCAGGATCGCATTGGTGTGGCTCTTGCACACGAATGCGAATGTATTGGTGCGAAGTGGGCCGGCAGTGAAGAAAAAAGGAAAAGAATCCGTCGAAAACGCTCAGGTTAGGGCTCACTCACCTTCCTAATCGGCTGTGCTAAGGGAATGAGAGACTAAGCGCGGAGAGGAGAGTATGAGGCGAGAGAGCGCTACAGATGAGAGAGCGCCAGACAACAGCCTGATAAGAGAAAAGCTGCAGCTTGAGCAGCTTACTTTGCAAGGCCCAAGCGCTCTTGTCGGTTGGTTTCCGTGCACGAGAACGCCACATTTGTGATTGTCCCCTAGGGTTCTATACTTCTGACCGAAGAGAAGCGTTCACACGACCTCTGCCTGGGTTGTGCCTTTAAAGGTCAAGTTTAGGAACGTCGGAATGGGAAGCTAGCGGATAGTCGCTGTTTTACGGTTTGATATGCGGCGCGGGGTGCTCAGTCTCCGGGGACTTCGTATAGATATGTCTTACTGAGTAGGCGGTAGTGTGTTGGGGGGTGAATAACGGTCGAGGAATTCCTCGACCATAGCTCTCTACCATGCGAGAGTAGTGCCGAGAGTGAACATCCGCGCGGAGAGCACAGACGGCTCGCGCATGGCGAGTGTGAATGTCCGCGCGAGAGATCGTGTCTGATCGGGCAGAGAATCCTCGACGTGCCGTTGAGGAATCCTCAAGCGATATTCACCCTGCTCCTGAGCCGCGATACCAAGTAATTAACTAGGGAGGTCTTGAAATGCCCAGCTTTCTCGAAACGGTTTTTTGCATGATATAGGGTGCGTGCATGGAACACAGAACTGTGGTTCATTTTTCCTGAGCGGCCTCTGAATACCAAAAATAGGGGTGATGAAGTGGTCCGTAGAAAAAAGGAGCAAAGAAAAACTGCCTTAAGGAACTGCCCTTCTTAACTTTCTTCACAATTTTCCAGCCAAAGTCTACGTATAAAATATGTTGCTGATAGCCCTAATTATAGATATGATATAAGTTCTTTCCTTGACGCTATTTTTCGCGAATTTTGAAACGCCCACACAAAATGCAAAAATTTGTCACTGGGAGGATTCGAACCACGTTGTGGTTACGGTATTCAGAGGGCCGCTCAGGAAAAATGAACTACAGTTCTGTGTTCCATGCACGTACCTCCTATATCATGCAAAAAACCGTTTCGAGAAAGCTGGGCATTTCCTGAAAGACCTTCCTCGTAAGTTCCAGGACAAAAAAAAAAAATTTCTCGAAAGACCAATAAAAGGGTAAACTTGATTCAATCGGTTTTTCTTTGAAGAACGCATTTGTTCTGACAATCTCTTCCATATAGCTTTCCTATTTTTATGGCGAAGTAGCGAATCAGCTACTAATTTCCTGCTTTTGAAAAAAACTGCATTACCGAGAATTGCGAAGTCTTACCTGATCTATCTGTTGCTCTGATCGAATGCCTGCGCTGCAGTATTTGATTACTTTCTCGATCGCTCTGTGTTCCGTTGGCAAGCTGAAACTCTTCATAGTCCAACAAGCTATCACGGAAAGCAAGCATCAAGAGAATTCTGTAAATTAACAAAATTTAGACTTCAAGACTACAGCAAACTTTTCGTAGTTCTTCTAATGAATAGGAAAATTTCCCTAGTCTCCATATACAGCACCGTCAACTAAAAGTTTACCAGGAGAACTTTGACAGGCTTTGCAAGGACTTGTTTGGCACAATCGCGCTTCGCTTCGCACATGTACAATAGAGAAAAGGGTAGCTCCCAGGTAATAGAAGGTAAACGAGGACGAAAGTAAAAGATTGAAAAACCGCACTTCAGTACGACGATAAGTGGTGGGACCTGCTCTTGAACTCTTTGGTTCCAGCCGTCTGACCGTTTACTTGGAAAACACAGATTTCCTGCTCCCAGCTCATGGGTGAACTCGTAAATTGTGATAGGCAAATGTCACGTGATTCGAACCTTCCATGAACATTGGTAACCGATATCGAACCATCATCGTCGTCATCCTAAAAGCTGTGGAGAATCAACAAGTCCCTTAACAAGCGTATGGATGAGCACCCGGGGGGGGACTAGAAAACCCAGTCTCCTATCCAAACAGCAGCTTCTCCAAGCACCGCACTAAAACACACATCTGGAGGAACCGCCTTCGTTGACCATTAAGGTATTACACCGCTCTATAGGGAACCCGGTGGAAAGGAAACTATTGGAGGCATTAGAAATAAGAAAATTATCCCCCGAAATAAATAGTAAGGACGAACTACGTGACGCTCTACAACTATTAAATTAACTACGTGCCCAATGTCACGCAATTTTTCATATCACATGCAATGACCGTCACAGTACGTCCGCTACTATTTAAGCAGAGGGTGAGCGGTAAGTCATTTAATTCCACTCCAACGGCGCGGCTCCCGTAAGGGCAGCTTCATCCTTGGCTGAGGCAACACATGTGGGTACTATAGGGATTTGGACCACCAGATTAATTCAATGTATTTCGAGCCTGATGAACGTGGTGTTGCACACCATAACTTCGTATAGCATACATTATACGAAGTTATACGAAATGTTTCACAAGAATGCTGGGTTGTGAACAAAACTTTCGCCCCAGGCGGGACTAGAACCCGCACCTCTCGCTTTCCGGGCAAGTGCGCTACCAGTTACGCTACAAGATCGACTGAACATTCTAACCGGCTCAACACGTTAGACGTGTGAGTGCTGAAAGCTATGGTACGTATACCATGAAAAGCTGAGTTGGAATGAAATGGTGCCCCGGTAGCGTAACTGGTAGCGCACTTGCCCGGAAAGCGAGAGGTGCGGGTTCTAGTCCCGCCTGGGGCGAAAGTTTTGTTCACAACCCAGCATTCTTGTGAAACATTCGCAAGGCGAACTGCGGCCAAAACAGCAGTTAACAAACAAAACAAGTCAAAATCTTTCCGAATTGTTTCTTGAGAATTTTGCAATTTTTTTCAGATTTTTTTGGAATACTTGAACTTTTTGTGAACTTTGTTATGTGCTTTCTATTTCCTTAGTGAGTTTCGGCCCAACCCATCAAACCTGTAGGATAGAAAAGTGATATTGAGGCTAATTTCAAGAATACCTTTTGAGAATGTCCTCCCACCGTTCCAGGAGGAAATTGAACATGAATTCTTTGCCCACGGGATTTTCGGACACTGCGAGGAAAACGTCAGGCAGATCTTGTAGGCGAACAAACGACGAATTACGGTCCAAGGCCAGCAGAAGAAGTCTGAAATTCTACATAACATTGCCTCAAATTGCAATCATACTAATATATAAACCAGAGTTTGTTTGTCTGACCGCTCCCCAAAAATTCGCAAGTGTCCCCCACATGTTTATAATTCTTCCTTCAAAAATCACCTAGGGAGGGCGGGTCAAGTTTGGAATGGGTAGAGTATGAGTCGCTCTTAAGGGGAATATATTGGCCATGCTAAACTCCGCCTCCAGTGGGCGGGGCGTGCGTCCAAATGAAAAATTTCGGTGAAAAATTGGTGTTTCCACTTCCTGAACATCCCAAGGAAATGATTTCCTCGTAATATAGGTGCTTTAGACAGAACTCGACAAATTCTTATGTACAATGCTTACAACCAGCGCCCCATTTTGTCTTTCCGCTTAGTTTTTTAGCTTTTGATGGCATTCCAACAGGAAATCGCTCACAAATAAAACCGTCTTGAGTGGCCACCTGCTACTGACAGAGCAGCAGCGAGCGTAGGGAGCCCTCTGAGCCCTACATAAAGCCCTACAAGCGCCAGCTCTCAATCAAATGCAGCGAG